GTAATCAATATGTAATCAATATGTCATTGAATGAAGTTCATTTGTGTCTTTGTCCAGATGTTTGTTATGAATAAACTTGAGAGGCTGAAAAACCATTTAGATTAAAACTGATTAGATTGATTAATTGATCAGATTATGAATAAACAACAAGTTGTGCTAACATTAGTGAGATAGCTAACACATTATTTTGTGATGTTTCAAAGAGGAAATGTTCGAGATTCAGGAAACTGAGATTCGTTAATAATTAAACAATAATGAAGTAAAGCAGTGCGTTGTAACGGATGTTAGCTAACATTAATAAGCTTAATTAAAAACATTCAATTAGAAAATAAAATAAACATTAGCTAGCTCACTAATGTTAGCAAACATAAACAGGTTGGGTGATGTTAAATAAAACAACAACAACGCTCGTTATCTGATGTTGGTTCCTGTAATTCTTCATTATGGAATAAACCTTAAATGCTAGCTACCGACGTCGTTGTGATAAATAAATGTTTAATTTACTTTATCTGCCGTCGACTAACAGGAATATTTGTTAAAAATAAATCATCTTCTGCTTTAATGAGCTGCGGTTAAGTAACAGTATTTCACATTTATGAGTCAGTTTGTTCTTCAATCTAATTTCATTTTCTAAATACAGCAAAGTGTTTTAATTTGTGCACAAAAGCAGCGTTAAACAGAAATTAACCACAATTAAAACCACATTATTTCCAACGTGTTAAAACATGTCTGGAGCCTTTCGTTGTTCTTCACCCACCTGCAGCTGAACGTCCTCCCGTTGGCTCCAGTGGGATCAGTCTCAGAGCCGCTGGTTGGACTCACACATGCTGCTTTTCTTTGTTTTCTGTGAATAATTTTGGACTGTTGGTCGGAGAGAATAATGTTCTGTAGAAAGAAACATCCTGTCTGTATTTTCAGTGTTTATTTAGGATAAAGTCACATTCCACCTTAAAGCCTTTTATTGATCAGTTAATGGATTCATGTGATTAAGTATAGACCACAGAAACTGATTGTCAAACATGTCCACTTTATTTCTGTTTATTTTGTTCTGTACATACATACAAAAGTTCATACTATGTAATGCTCTAATTAAAGGTATGTACAGGATGACAGGGAGCAGCGTTCTTTCACTAAATGTTTCACCTTTGTGTCGACGTCGAGTCGCTGCTGGACAAAAACAAGAGAACCCTCTTCAGTTGGTCGGAGCTCCCGTCGGATTACAGATTCATCCTCCGGCCGTCCTGAGGCTTTATAAACTCACTTCCTGAACTTTAATTTCTCCTGATGAACGTGACAGGAAATGATTATTATTGTTGTTATGAATCATGGTGCAGTGGAGCTACGTCACATTCAGTTAGTGAGGACGTTCTTTACAGTTTGGTGACAGAAACATTCTTTATTTAATATATTTATATGTAAAAGTCTGATAAAGTGTATCAGACAAACATCGCCCAGTTCCAACCACGACGACAACAAAATAAAGCTGTGAAGAAGTTCCACATATTCTGGCTCAGACCTGATCTGCCCCCTGCTGGAGGATCCTCCAACTACACAAAGTACACAGGGAAATGTGTGAACACGTGGGTCTATAAACCGCTCTACTTCCTGAACCATATCGACCCTCGGTTACAAATAAACGTTAAACAACCAAAGTTGTATTTTGTCAGTTTTTAAGTCACAAACATAAAATAAAGCTGAACTGTGGCGGCCAGTCTGTCCAGCGGCGAGGGGGGGACTAACTCACCACCATGGTCATTGGTCCACAGCGAGTGGAAGACCACATTTCACCGAACCAAAACCAGCTGAGAACGTAATGGGAGAACGAAGGGGAGGGGCTTGTGTACGTGACAATATACAGTAACAACAACGTGCCTGAAGAATAAAGCGAAATACTTTTATTTTCATAATTGTGTTGAGGATTGTCTCTTTAAACCATATTGCTCACAACGCCAAGCAGCGACGCTTAAATGTTAATGAGAAGCTTCGTTAATAAAAACAAACACAGACGGACGTTAATGCTCTCGAATGGATGAGAGCCGGTAAATACTGCAGACCTTAAACGTCACATCGCTGGTTCTCGTCAGGAAACTTTTATTAGTGACATTTATTTATTGTGTTTATCTGTTCACAACAATTCAACCAGACCGAGGCAGCAGAGGATCATGGGAGTCTGCAGGGTGGAGATCAGAGAGAATATTACTGTTTTTAACGATATCTCCATTTTAAAAACATCTGATGAGTTCTCATTCTGCTCACCAGCTTTTATTTTGGCGAGGTACAGCTCCAGCCTACGTTAGTGTTTGTTCGTCTTCAGACGTGTTTTAGATGCTGTGGTGAGTTCAGGGACTCCCAGTCCCAACACAGGAAGTGGTTCAGATACAGGAAGTGTACCTAAGTCTGCTGCTGGGACCAGGACTTAGGATCACAGCGTCCCCGGTTCGATTCTGACCACATTTCCTGCAGTTTCCTTCACAATAAAAGCCTCTGTGTAAAGCTTTAAGCAGGAATTGATGAGAGCGTTTTAATGAGTAGAAATTATTGAATTATTAAATGAAATAAAAACAGACTCATTGAATCTGAATTCGGTTCAAATATTCAGATCTGAAGCTTCTTTTACAGATTGCATAATTTCCCACAACTCCTGAACACATCATCGTGTTTGACCTTTGACCTGACGCGTTCAGGTCGTACAGACGGAAACATTCAGATTACAGCTTTTGTTCTACAACGAAGGACGACTTCTCTCATTGGTTTAAAGTCGATGACGTCACAGCGGACAAACAGACACAAACAGGAAGTAAACGTTGGAATTTCTTCTGGATGCTGATTGGCCGTCTACATTCACGGTGTCTCCTCCTCGTCAGGTGATTGGTCAGGTCAGGTGAAGGGGGCGGGGCTCTGTAGTGCATCTCATCTGTGCTGCGTTCAGGTGCCACAGGACAGACGTGTCCACTTCAGGAACCGAACGAACGGACACCAGAGAGGCGTACTCGCTCCTGGTCGCCATGGTAACCGAGTTTAAACAGGCGGACCTAACATTGCGGTCGCCGGACGTCAGTGATGTCCCTGAACGCAGCGGCGTAACTAGAGTAGTGCAAACCGCTGTCTGATCTCAGGGATCAATATCGAAGCTCGTTCATTTCTTAACTGATCGGCACCGGATACATTAACCCGATCCAAAGGTTTCAGGGTCGGTCCCGAAGGTCGAAAGCAGCGACTGGAGAACGTACAGTGACGTTGCCTCTGATCCCGAAGTTCTTCGGATCGACCGGCAGAATCTGGATCCGGCGCCAATACCTGCACATTACATTCAAAACGGTTTGGTTCTGTTCGACGCGAACACGAAGTTAGAACACTAACGACTGATAACTTTCCATCGTGCGTTCGGGTCCTAATACAGACGAGTTGGGACAGAATACAAGTATCAGCAGATAATCAATAGTCATTATGGATCAGGCTGTTCGGACTCTCTGGTGCCGTGTCGTCACGGTGACACATAGTACGCCCCTCTGGACCGCCTCCGGACCTGGACCTGGTTCTGCTTCCACGGTCTTCTCAAGCAGCTGAGAAACTTCCTGCTGCACAGAGCGCCAGCGGAGAGGACCGGTTTTACTGTGGACGGAGGTCCAGAGGAAGACCAGAACCAGAACCAGAACCAGATTCACTTCCTGTAATGGAGACAGCCTGTTGGTGGTGCGTTCAGGGACCCTCCGTCTTTCATCCCTTGTGTCAAACGGCAGCAGGTGTTGGAATGAACGTGCAACATTAAGCTGATGATGTCATTGTCACATGACTGCTGACTCATCGGCCAGCAGGGGTCAGAGGTCAGAGGTCAGAGGGGTTTCCTGTCAGCTCCGTCCTGATCTGACCCCAGACCAAATTCTCCACGACAGCTTCAGCTTCCTCCCCGGAGAGACGGACAGGAGGGCGGCGGATAGGGCTCAGGAGGGACCGCCCCCCCGGTCAGAGAGCCTCCTGATTGGCTGTCAGGTACTCCTCGGCTCTCTTGTGAGCCTCCAGAGCTTTGATGGTGTAAACGTCCTGCGGCAGCTCCGACTTCCTCCTCATCAGGACCTTGTCCTTCTTCAGGTCCTTCATACCCTGAGGGGGGACACAGGGGGGGTCAGAGGCTGACAGCAGCTCACTGATGGATGGATGGATGTATTGATTGATTGATTGATTGATGGATGGATGGATGGATCAGCAGTACCTGTGAGGCCTCGCTCTCCACAGTCTTCTTCAGCAGCTGGATGTCTTCAGCTGTCGGAGTCTCAGTCTCCATGGAGTACACAGCCACAGTGGTACTGTCGCTGTACAGCATGTACTGCAGGGACAGGGACACCATCAATAATCAATAATCGGTACCGGGAGCCAGCAGGGTCCACTTACAGGACTACACCTTCACTACACCTAGCAACATCCCACAATGCAACACTCTTAAAGTGACAGCCCCTTTATGAGCATCATTTACATTCAAACACAGAACTGACCTCTTCCTGTGGGTGGAGCCCGGGGCGGAGGGGGTGGAGCTTATTGCTCTGAAAGAACACACAGTTAAGTTAACAACAACAACAACAACAACAACTTCACACACAGTAAATAAATAAAACAATAAAATCATTATTATTGGGGACTGAACTGGGCCCTGAATTACAGCGGTTCTACTGAGTAACCAGAACCCTGCAGTTTGTTCCAGTCAGTCAGGACAACACGTCTGACCATCAGCCTCAAAGTCTCTGCAGCCGGTACTGTACTGGTACTGGTACTG